GCTGGAGAGATGGCTCAGCAGTTAAGAGCACCAACTGCTCTTCCAGAGGACCTGAGTTCAGTTCCCAGCACCCACACAGTGGCTCACAACCATCTATGACTCCAGTTCTAGCAGATCTTATAGCCTATTCTGACCTCCCAGAGCACCAGGCACACATCTGGTACACAGACATACATATAGGCCAACACATGCATATAGATAAAATGAAAACTGGAAAAAAAAATGAGCTATCCAGTTTCATATGAAAAAAGATCCCACGTCTTTTCTTTACATCTTCCCCTGGTCAGTACATAATTTCTGCTTGGCACTCAGGGATATTGTCCTCTTCCTGGAGGTCTCTTACCACCATGGGGCAGCTCCTCAGAGCTCAGCCTGCCCTGGAGCTCCATTCCACATACCTGTTCTCCCTGCAGAACTCAGGGCGGTGTCCATGTACACAAGGACAGGCTGACGGTCACCTCTCCAGTCCTGATGTGGGTCCAGGTAAGCATAGGGAGGCTCCCTTCCTTCTCCTGTATCTGGCCTGTCACTGGTGGTCCCAAGGTGGCAAGCTCATGGGGGCATTTGGAGACTGTTTAACCCTTTAACCAGAGTTAATGTAAATTGAGTGGTTCCTGGGGCAGACCAGCCTTAGCTGATGCCTGTCCTTGTCTGTGAGGACTCACAGGGCACTTCCAGGTACCAGAGCCACAAAGGTTGGCAGGCCCTGTCTTTGAAGATTTATTTATTTTTAAAGGCAGGGTCTTATAGCTCAGTGTGGTCTCAAACTCACTATGTGGCCAAGGATGACCTTGAACTTCTGATCCTCCTGTCTTTACCCCTTAAGTGGGGTTATAGGTGTGTAGCGTCATGCCCAATATGCAGTCCTGGAGCTTCTACCAACTGAGCTGTATTCCCAGTCCATGCCACTTCTAAAGGGACATAGAGACAGGCTTTCCCAGTCCCTGATGTCAGGCCAAGCATGGCCCCTGGTGTCTTAGTGTTTGTCCCCACGGCATGGTCACTCAGAACAGTGCCTTATAATCAACTAGTCAGGCTGAGATCAACCCCAAGCTAAACCCGCCTGCGTTGGACCATCCGCCCTGGTCCGCCTCTGGCCAGATCTGGTGACCTGTGCAAGGATTTGTTCAACATGGACATGATAGGGCTTGGATTGCCTCATGTGCTGGTGGCACCAAAGTCCTTCAGCTTGAGAGTCAAAGGCCGCACTGTGTGTATCTGCCAGAAGTCCTTCTCCAGCCTCCCATTCCTGTTGAACCATCGCCTACATTATTCCTTTTTAAAAACTGAACTAGAGTGAGTTCTGTTTTGTCTGCCCGATCATGGGTCAAACACCAGAAGAGTGGAGTTAAGGATGGGTTCCACCCAGACAGGTTGGCTGAAAGGCACTCCAGAAGACTGCGCCAGACCAAAGTTGGTAGTGGGAAGTCAGAGGCAAGGGCCAAGAGGTCCCGGACATGAAGGGCTGTGTCGGGTAGGTGGGAGGAGATCCCGGGTTGCCTCGGAGCCAGAGAGGTGGCTGAGCTGTGGCAGCCTCTGGAGCTGGACTTGTTTCGAACTTTGCCGGTCCCTGCCCTCCTGTCTGAGGTTTGACAAGCGTGTTGTCAGGGCCAGGAATGATCTCAGCATGGAGTGGGGATGCCAGGGTTAGACAAAAGCTGGAATGAATTTCTCTGCCATCAGAAGATATGAGCTGGGATGAGTCTCAGATTCCTGCTGTGAAATGTTCATATATCTGTCTGTCTGTCTGTCATCTTCCATAAAATATACACATATTGAGACAGGTCTTCATGTATTCCAGATTGGCCTCAAACTCTGTGTACCTGAGGGTGACCTTGAACTTCTGGTCCCCCAGCCTTCTCCTGAGTGCTAAGATAATAATCATGTGCCCCCACGCTTGGTTGTGTGTGACTGGGGATGGAACCCAGGGCTTTATATATGGTGGGCAAGTGTTTGATCGACTTAGCTGCGGCCCCGCCCATCTGGCCATGAGGTCTTAGCAGGTGACCATGAGGTCATACTCTGCCTGACACCACCACCCGTCCCACCCACTCCTGGGAAGAGAGTCCGGCTGGACGAGCGTGTTAAACGGCACTTGGCAGCACCACCACCAGCTCGCCTCACTCCTTCTGCCTCAGGCTCCTGTGGACAGACAGTCTGGACCGGGCACCCTCCTCTGACGGCAACACCTGCCTGCCTTGCTCTTCTCTGTCGTACTCGGGTCGTTCAGATGGTGAAGTAGAAATACAAGTAAAAGAAAAACAAAACTTTAAGCTGTGTGCTCTGGTTCTCCCTTAGTGCTTGGAGGATGCCAAGTAGAGACGGAAATCCTGAGGATTAATGGTTTATGATTTCGTTTATTCAACATTTGTTTAGGCAGAGTAGGTGCGGTGGTGCATATCTGGAATCCCAGCATTTCAGAGGTGGAGGCAGAAAGATCAGGAGTTCAAGGTCACCTTAGCTGTTGGGAGCATAGCATGAAGGTCCTCGTGTCCACAGATCTCCAGAGAAACCAGGAATGCTAAGCACACTGGATTGTCTTTCCAATGGGGAAGATGTAAAACCTGTTCTTCCATCCAGAAAGCTGAGCATTGGAAGTGGTTAACAGCCTGGTGTTATCTGTTGGGCCAGGCCATATCAAGCTCCTCCAACTAGGACAGGCAGTGGCTAACAGCCAATGACCTCTATTAAGGTAGCACAGGTAGCCTATCTCTAGAACCCATCTTCTTGGAAGAAGTGACCTGTGCCCTGAGTTGAGTCTCAATGTAATTATGCTTCCTTGTGCACCAGGGGTTGTACTGCACCAGGAAACTTCTTTCCAAATTATACTGAGCTTAAATATATTGGGAATAAGCTGCCTGTTATTAGACTCCCCATAGTCTGATCCAGGTTGATGAAGCCGATCTGCACCAGGTTTTC